AGGACTTGAGAAGTTCGGATAAGCGGGAAACCCGCAAGAACAACACTCTCACAATCGAGCAGCGTTCTTTGCCTTTCAGCGGAGGCTTTGCACAGGTACCATGAGTGGCGGTCCCGACCCTGTCCACAAGGTCGAAAAAGTGGTGCTGATGCTTGTGCGCAAACTCGAAGAGCTCATCCAGGGTTGGAAAGAACGGCTGAAAATTTACCTGGCGCATGTCCCGACCAAGGCAATTTAGCTTGTCATCACGAGCAACGATGCAGTCCCACCAGCCCGCCGTGGCCTTGACGCTACGTGCGGCACGCTCGCCGGTTTCAATGATGCCTTTCTGCTCCTCGTGGAGGCCATGCTTCCTCTGCAGCTCTTTACCTGACAGGAGGGGGACGGAAAGACTTGGACAATCATAAAAGCTTTGCAGATATCGGAGCATGCATCTCACTATAGCCAAGGCACTCAGGTCCTGAAAGCTTCTCAGCTTTTCTTCTCCTCCGGAGATCTCCAGCGCTTTCGTGTACTTGGCTTTTGCACCGACTTCTCGTCTCAGGAGATCGATGTTCTTGTCGTACTTGGAGTCCCCGAGGCCGAACTGTTCAAGGGGGAAACACGAAGTATGGCTGATGTTGGGGTGCAAGATGATGCCCGAACGAGAGGCACCGTTCGGAGGCAGAGGAAGGAACGATTTGTGGTCGTGGCTTCGCATCAGATTCAGAGCCGAAGCGAGGTTGGTCCCGGGCTTGCGGCCTTCTCACGGAGGGACAGCTCCGTTGCATGCTCCGGCTTGGCGCTTGTGTCCTGACAGTTTCAGGGGGAATCAGCAGCACATAGCATCACTGCCTGCAGTGAAGGAGTGGAACCCTAAACCCCAAAAACTGCTCTCGCATCATCCCGGCCTCAGGCTGGGAGCCCGTGTTTGGGTCCTTGACGGCTCCCATGGCGGTGCGAATGCCTCAAGAGGCAGCCCCGCTTGCCATCGAAGTTCAATGGAGTCGGGCCGGCTACCTTTCCCGGTGCTAGAATAGCTGCCCCTTGCCCTGTGCATCCGTGCCACTTGCTGCCACTTCCTCAACTTTGGTGTTCAGAACTTCCAGCCTTAGCAATTTGCAGTCGCTGACAACGAAGCTGGCTCTGCTTAAAAGCTGCCTGGAAGAAATCGGCATCACGTGCTGGCACGGATCCCTGCTTGGGCGTTCTCAGCTTCCATGCGCTGGCTCTCATTGCCAAGGGTGCGGCATCCGTGCCTCCAAACGCTCACCCCAGCGCTCCACCTGATCAGCTGACTGCTGAGGCGTTCTGCGCGTCAAGGTCAGACACGACACCAGCCAAAGCCAAGAGCTGCAGCCGGTTTCAGGAATCCACAAACTCTTCTGATTCTACTCGACATGAGTCCTCCCACATCCTCGGCTTGAGTTGCCTGGCCTTCTGCTCAAGTTGCTCCAACAGTCGCACCTGCGGAGGTGCGTGACCGGGGACTAGAACAAGACCTCTGAGGATGCGATCTTTTAAGATCGAGCTGCAAGTAACAAGGAACTCGCAAACCTTGTAACAACTGCACCTGGGGCCTGAACCCCAGGACCCATCCAAACACCGCAAGCACTTCCTGAAATGAAGACGACTGGCCTGCATGGCCTCCAGCGATGTCGTCAGATCTGCCGTCTCGGCACCTCGGCAGCCAGCTACTGCAATCAATCATCAGGTTTTCGGGTTGAGGGGTTTAGGGTTTAGGAGTTTAGGGTTTAGGGTTTAGGGTTTAGGGTTTAGGATGATGCCATGAACTGTCCTACTGCATTGTAGCAGCATAGCCAGGGTCTCAGAAGCTCTGCTGGCACTGCTACTGACAAAGCTTCGATAGGTGGAGGAAGCTGACTCAAACGACAACCCCTATTGATGATCTATCCAGAGTGTTCCGCTGACAAGAATAAAGCTTCCACGTGCAGCATCGGCACAAATGGAAGTCTAAGGGAGCTTCCTCGTTGTCCTAAACAGCCTCGACCTGGACTTTTGGGGAGCGTGCGCATCGTGCCCGCTTCGGAGACCAGCTCTGCCTTCATGTGCCAAGCATTGCCAAACACGACACGACAAAGAAATGAAGCGACTGCAATCGGGTTCAATCTTCTTGAACCCTGAGCTTCAAAACGAAGCACCTCACAGAGCCTGCTGTGATAAATGCAAACAACTTCCCTAAACCCTAAAACCCTAAAACCTAAGCCCTTCTTCACGGCTGCAGCCTTCCAGGCCCTCGCGAAGAGGAGCCCGCCTGCGAGTTCACCGACCGCGAGGCCTCCGGCTCCCGGGCCGGCACCTCCAGAGAGTCCCGCTGAAGTCCCCATTTATCATATTATATTATGCTATATTATATTATGTTATATTATGTATATAAATATATATGTATGTCACAATGTAGGCTACAATCTAGAATCTATGCTGCGTGTAACAATAATAATACTTCACAGATCCAATCACAGGCCGCTGGCGTTCCCGTTGCAGAAGCTGCTCCTCGTCGAAGCTCTACATAGCACGATGGCAAAGGAAAAAATGACAGACAAGGGGAAAACAAAGACAGGGTTAAGGGTTTAGGACCAGCAGGTAAACATGTACCACCATGCAGATGCCAGTCCTTGACCACAAAGCCGCGAACTCCTAGGGTACTGAAGAACATCGCAAGGCACACCGAAGACTGCTCAAGTGAAACAAACAGGAAGTGAGACAAAAAGGACAGCTGCGATTCGACTACAAGGGAACACGTCCGGCCGGAGCACGATTGTTTTGGGCTGGAGCCAAGCCATCTCCTCTTTTGCACGACCAAACTCGACACTCTAAAGCCCAAACTCTGAACAAACCCAAACCCAAAACTCGAAACCGTCCCTGGCACTCTGGACTTGGGGTCGGCCTTTGTGTCGCCAATCACCGCTTCACTCTGCAGGGCGGAGAGCTCCTGAGGGCCAGTAGTATTGCATTTGGGGTTTTGGGTTTAGGGGTTTAGGTTTAGGGTTTTGGGTTTTGAGTTTAGGCTTTTGGGTTTTGGGTTAAGGGTTTAGGGTTTATAGTCTATTACATTTTTTATCTGTCATATGTTTCTTGGTCTGGTATGTGCTCCTAAGAGCTGTAGTTCGAAGTTCCATCGAAGCCTCAATCCAAACACTTACGGGTATGTCGATACGTCTTTCTGGGCCTCACGGTATGGCAACGTCCTTCACATGAAACTCGCCTCCAGATACCCGAACCTGACAATCGAAACGACTCGAGCAAGGAACCGACCCCTTAGCACTGTAGAACTGCTCTCTTATCAGCTCCTCCTTCAGGGCTCGGTTGCGCTGTCGGAGGGAGATGTTGACAGGCTCTCGCTCACATGACTGGGAGCATTGGCGAAGCCATCGTATCATGAACGACTCCGGGTCCTGACCAAATGCAGATTTGTCGTCACTTTGAACTTGATGCCACCATCCGCAGTTGAAATTGACAGGAAGAAACGTTGAGGCCCTGTGAGGTTAGGGATCGTTTTGCTCAGCCCACCTCCGGCATCGCACCCAACACGTCTTTGACGAGCTCCATGGCCAGGGGCTGCACCGTCGCCATGAGGTACTGCTCCTCCCGAAGATCCCATAACGATTCAGGAACAAACCATCAATCTGGAGGTATGTTGCTTGGGGTTTGGGAGTCTCTGGGTGTGCTGATTCAGACACCATGCGAATACTCACGGCCACAGCGTCTAGCACGACATGGGCGGTTGTCACCCTTCTCATGGTGGCGCGGAACTTGCATGGCTTGTGTTGTCGTCACACCCCGGCTTTGCGATGTGTATCTGCTGGCATCCTAACTCGTTAATTCTGTTGGCTTTCACACCATGAAGATGATGCTGCCGCTGAAGGAACATGAGCACGACATAGCAAGACGATGGGGATAATGAGGATGACGACGACGCTATGAAGAAGAATACGATGATGACGGTTATGGTAAGTAGGAGGAGTGGGAGCAATGCGAAGACTTGCCAGTCGCAACACTGCAACCCCTCCACTTCTCATTGGCCTGCTGGGCTGCCCGTGACGAAGGCTCGGATTTTGCAGGCTCCTGTTGGTTATCAAAGCAGTGGGAGTGCGAGAATCACTTGGACGTCTCTGCTCACTGCTTGCGGAAACACTACGTATCAGCCCTAGCCTGTCATATTGCGAAGTCTTTTCTTTGTTGCACAGAGCCAATTTGGCAAACACTCAAGGCCAACATGGAACGTCCCAGACAAAGAACGGCCCATGGAGTGGATGTGAGAGCGGCTGTAGCTCGACGAAGCAACATGTTATGCATAAACCCCCACGCACCGCTTCCAGCTAATCAGTCGACAACCAGTTTGGGGCGAGCCTGGGCTTTAGAGAGCTTACTGGAAGCGAAGCCGAGGGCAAAGACCCGAACTTGTCTCATAAGCCGCACTCGACACCGTTGCGTTCGAACTTCGATGTTCTCCAGGAGAACGGCGTCTCCGGCATGTTGGCCCAGTAATTTTCATTAGCAATCTAGGTACTCTGGCTGAACCAAAACAAACAAAGCAAGCACACCGGGAGATCTAACTTGCAAAAGCCCAAACACCCCTCCAGCCGGGATCTCCAACACGTACAAACTCTGCCAGCCCCCAAACTACTCCCGAAAACCCACCAAATGCCAAAAAATCCTAAACTCTCGGGGACTCCTCCTGGGTGTTTCGATTCGCGGATGCCTCGGGGACGGAAGCTCTAGAGCTCGGATTCAGGTGTAAGGCGTAAGGGTCTTGAGGATTGAAAAACGAACTCCAGGACCAAGGTCTTCCTCTAGGATTGAACCTCTGGTTCATTGTTGAAGATTTTGTAGTAGTTTGGTGTTCGGCACACGTCCAGGGGTGACGAAGAAAGAGTCGCTGCAGAAGCAAAAAGCCTCGCGCTCTGCATGACATGTCCTTTATGTCGAAGCCAATACTTATGAAGTTACATGAAGTAAGGCCTTTCGGTAGTCTCCCCATCAGAAGCACCTACACTCACCCAAATCCCGAATATGACGGTGTTCAATTCTGGCGAGACTCTAGGAGCACCATTTCTGGCTTTGAAGTTAGCTGGTTCAAAACAATTGCTTTCCAGTACTTCATGAACCGTACAGGTCTGCAAATGGTCCGTAAGCTTACAGAATCAAGCTACAAGTACAAACTAAGCACCGGTTCAAGCAACAATCGTCCTAAAAGTCACCATGGCGATGACAAAAAGTCCTATAGCCTAAAGCTAGGCTCACACCTTGACGCCAGAAGCCCTAAACCACGGACTCGTAACTTTTGAAACCCGAGACCGCAATCCGGAAACCGCAAAGCCTTAAACCCTAAACTTTCCCGAATCCGACAAACGCCTCAACCCCATCAGCACTCTAAAGCCTGAAGCCCCGAAACTCTAAGCCGCGAGACCTCTGTCGTGGCGGCAGCGCCCTTTCCGATACGAAGGCACTTTTCGGCTTGCTTAGCGGCCCGTGGTGAGGCTTACTTTTGTCTCCGATGTCCCAAAACCGGAAGGCTCTTACATGGCTTCCCGGATGGGCTCTGAAGTGTCACCAAAGCTCCCCCGGGCCCCCTGGCCTCCTGGGCATTCCCGGGATCCGCTGACGAGGACAAGGGCTCCTCGATGGGGACTTCAGCCGACGGCAGGCAGAAATCCGCACTATGCTCTCTCAAAAACCATGAGCACTCTCAGAGCTGTGCAGAGATCTTGGTCACGGCGGTAGGGCGAACGAAAACCCCATGCCTGCGCAAGGGGTTTGGGAGCAGGGCTGCTCAAAAGTTTCGCTTAAACTGCAGCTGAATCCGGGAAGAAAGGCTTGCAGAAAGAGGATGGAACAACTGTTTGAAACACCGACAGGCCGCCCTGGCTCGCAGTGGAAGTAGGCTGTGCCCTGCACACTGCCGTTGTTTTTGCCGACCTGGCTGAGGCGTCGGGCAAGGCGTGACTCGGTGGCTTTGCAGTCCACGACTCATGCTCTACCCATAGGCCCCTAAGTAGTTCCTTTGTATGGTTTCTATTTAGAATCCTATAAGGTAATCCCAAAGGGTAGCCATGCCAGTCTCCAATGCCACGCACGTCTTCTGCACTTGTCATCTTCAGTGCCTTGAGTGCGATTGCCAAGAAGGTATCTCATCGCGCCTGGCGGTCAAGCTCCAAGCCGAGCTACTCCTCGGTTGACTTCTCACAGGAGCAAGTGAAGTGAGCAGCATGTGGGATGCCGCATGTTTCATGGAAGCTTATGTGTATGTACCTATCTACGTATATCTGCATGCAGGTAGGTAGGTAGGCAGGCTGGCAGGTAGGCAGGCAGGTAGGTAGGTAACTGGGTGGGCAAGCAGTCGGTAGCAAGTAGGTACACAGGCAGGTAAGTCGGTCGGCAGGTTGGTGGGTCGGTCGGTCCGTCGCGGTAGGTCGGAAGGTTGGTAGGTCGGCAGGTCGGCAGGCAGGCAGTCAGGCAGGTAGGCAGGTAGGCAGGCACGCAGGAAGGTAGGCAGGTAGGCAGGCAGGTAGGCAGGCAGGGAGGTAGGCAGGTAGCTAGCTAGGTGGGCACGAGGTAGGTAGTCGGTAGTAAGTAGGTACGTAAGCAGGTAGGTCGGTAGATTGTGCACAAAAGGTAAGATTTGCTCTGTTGTTGCTGCTGTTGTTTTGCTCTTGTCGCGGGGGAGATGTGTTTTGTCTTGGTTGCGGCCGGTGATTTGTGGCTGGGGTCTTTGTCATGGGCTTGTCTTTACTTAGCAAACCAAGAGAATCCTTTTTCATGTAGGCATGTACTTATTCTGCAAAGATCTACAGCCTGTTGAAGAACAACCTGGATCACAATATGCAAATGTAGGTGACTGTCGGAGACACTGCAAGGACCTGTACGGGGCTGTGTACGCAGGAATACATATAGCATAGCGGGCCAGGTTTCCACGAGATGAGCTCCGATTCAATGCAGCATGTGCACGGGCAACACAGGGTACGCACTTTGGAATCAGTCCCTGAACCACTGTGCCCTTCAACATGATCACATTTCGAGGGAGGTGGACCTCAGCACAACGTCGCTAGACCTGCGCACCATCATCGCGTCTTGCAGTGCAAACTGGCCCGGTGCTCAAACCCCGCGCCACTTGCCCTGCATGTTCCCTGCCATGATCTCCTCCGGGATACTTGAGCCCGTTTCTGAAGCAGTGAACATCAACAAGGAAAAGGGCCTCCAGGTTTGGCGTGGCTCAGAGACCATTGAACCATATTTCCGTGCCAAGGGCGCTACAACCCCGCGAGAAAGAATTTTTCTTGCCGAAGGACGGCTTTGCCAAGGGGTGAGCGGGAGCCGCAGACGTTTTTGAGCGGGAACCGCAGACGTTCTTTTAAAAAACAACCCGCCGGCAAGTCTTTTAAAAGAACCCGGCAAGTCCTAGTCCTAGGGTCCTAGAGGTCTCGGTGCTCAAGCCGAAACTGATGCCATGAAGCGCGAGGAAGATAGGAAGAGACAAAAGAGACTTGATGGCGATGTGATATGAAGCATGGACAGCAAAGGACTCACCACAAAAACGTTACCGGTGTGCACTTCTATCTGGATATACATTTGTGTGCATGCACACAAACTCGTGTGTATGTTTGGCTGAAGCTCGCTCAAGATCAGGCATGTCTCGCGCGCGCGCGCTACGCCTATATTCCTACCCGAAGCCAATAGGCTGAGCCATTGAGTCCTGCACCCGAGACCCGACAAACCCATGGATTGGGACCTTCACAAGGCCACACCCCTGTGTGAAACAACTCATGTGCTTATGTGTTTAGGCTGCGCCGGGTGGATGAACGAATCGCCGAGCATCGCCCGGGGCAAAGGCGGCCTGGCCGACGAAGCGGACGGTGCCAAGAAGCACCTCCTTGCGAGCTGCCGCAAGAAGTCGGCTTAGGGGTTGGGGTGCTAGAATTTAACAT